TGACAAGAGGCTCTTTCTTCTCCCCAGGAGTGCAGGGAGTAACAGCAAGTGTCCTTTTGAGGTCAGCAGCTCAGGACCTCACTGAAGACCCTGTTACTGGGGCATCTCTACTGTGCTGTCCATATTAACTAAAAATGGTTGATGGAATACGAATTTCAATAGTTCCCACTAACAAGGCTGCAAGTTCAGAATTATTCACATTAAAAGATTTGTTATACAGACATACAAGATAGTGCTTACCCTCTGTTATTTAAAAAACAGAACAAAACAAACAAAAAAACCCCAACCAAACCAAAAAACACACTAAAAACCCCAAAACTTGAGCTAATCAAATTACTCAAAGATTAAATTTTTAATATAATGTTATATAATATACAATTTATGAAGGATCCAAGATGGCAATATTAAAGAAACAGTCTCAAACATTCAAAAATGTAATCTCAACAAATGTATCTACCTGGAACGACTTCTTCAGATACTATGAAGTTTCTTTTTTTTTGTTTTTTTTTCCTTCTGTGGAGCTCAATTATCAATCTGCATCACTATCTTTTTCAAGTTACATGTTACCACTCAACCTTGGCTCTGAAAACAAGCGATTTGGTAACTCTTCAGTACAGGACCACATACATATGGCGCACAAACAACAAAGACTGCATATGAACCCTTCTTTGCCTCTCTCTCTTTCTCTCTCTTTTCTCTCTCTCTCTCTAAATCATATATATAAAAAGGCCATTTGTGAAGTCCAGCGATTTAAAAATGTAGCTTATCTTTTTGCAGGCACGAGTAATTAGCAGTGCAATTTAACACTGGTAATTATTCATGGCCACAGTTAAGTTCATTTGCATTTCTAACTACCTGATATGCAAGTGAGTCAAGTAATTACATGTCCACACTACTTAAATTGCACAATAACTGAAATTAACACTGCAACACTGATTTAACAGTGTATCTACGAAATCTAAAGCAAAAGACCATGTCCAGTCTTTCAAATGTAGTCCTAATGAACAACTGGTAAAAGGTGTTTAGAAGCCTGAGGATACATGTAAGTATCTAACGGGGAAGCATATTGGTGCCTCACTCTCATTAAAGTCACACAGAGCAGAGGTTTTCCTCTGCAGGACAAAGCCTTTTTCATATGCTCAGTAGATAAGCTCATGTGTATTTGTCCTTAAACCTTCATTTATCCCTGTGTAAACGTGCAACACGTAACTTTTAGGAACAAAAATTAAGTTTCAAAGGGCAGTTACGAAACATTTTTTAAATACCTAATTAAATGGTTTTGAGAAATATTTATTAAACTTCAGAGGATCTGGCTACAGATTCATGCAAAAAAAATAATGCAATTATTATCCATGGGAATCGGCATAGTCACATGAATGCAATTTTGTTATAGGTGAAAACATGCATCACTGAGGCAGAGACCATGAGATAGATTCTCAGTATGGGTCAAATTTATGTCTGTGCTGAGAGCCAACCCAGGAGCCAGACACTACCAACAAATGTCTTTACTCTGCAAATACTTTCCAAAGCACAGGAACCAAATATATTGCAGGTGAAATTCTCCATTGTGCAGGGGTCTTACACAGGTCTCTGTATTACATAAGTCCTACTTAAATACTATTTTAAAGTTGCACAAATCTACTGCACAGGCAAGAAATTTCCCTTGGAAGAATTCCTTGAGCCCTCTGGAAAGGATGTACTTTGGTAGCATCTATCACAGTCTCTTAAGCAATCCATAAATCTTGCACTGGCCTCTGCACAGAGGTGGGTACACCTTGCAGAGTATCTCTCTTGTTTTGTAGAAATGTCACAAAATCCTACAGTGCTTCAGAGTTAGCATTATGCAGACTGTGTAGACATTGCATATATACAAATTTCAAGACAGCCAGTAAACACCTTAATTACTGAAATGATCAAGAGAATGGGTCATATTTCACATTTTAGCTATTCAAAACTTCGCATCTTACACCGAAATCCTCATTCCACTGAAATTGTTGAGAGTTGCTACTGACCTTGGTGAGGCCAGTATCTCGCTCCATCTTTTCAACTGATAGTTACTTGTCATCAACTAGCTTGTCTTCTAGCCCAATCTCTACCTCAAACTCCGTGAGATTTCTCAGTGTTAGACTCTTTCCAAGAACCTCTCCCATTCTGAGGATAAAAAGCTCAAAACAGTGAGAATCACCTACTCAGCATCCTCACCTGGATCGCAACTGTGGTACAGGATTCCAGGGCACATATTCTCAAAATAAATTAGGTACAAAGTACCCCAAACACTATTTACACACCAACAAAGTTCCTCTGCAATAGCATTCAACTGTCCCCCACCCCAGTGCCTGAGTTCCTGGCACCTTGGCCACATCCACCCAAGCATCACCGTCACCTTCAAGGGAATGAGCTGCCCAGATCTGCAGATGATGCCAAAGACCAAGAATATCACAGTAGGATTCTCCAATAAGGTGATCCTGATCTGGGAGTGGACCTAGTGTGTCCAATTCACTGGACCCAGTCCTTTGGTCATTTTTAAACAGCACCTGAATTGAAAAAAATTAGAACCGGAATACAGGATCCACAGTCACCAACTACAAAGCTGATCACTTCACCAGTTACTTTCTGGACCATGATTATTAAATAACTCCAACAGGAGAAAATGAAAGAGCTCTGTATCATAACTGCCAATAAGTTTGCAGTGGGGTTGCCCAAACCTGCAGATGGTTCATGTCTTTGATCTAAATCAGAATATCAGGGAAATAGATTTGGCTCTCTCATTTTCTACGTAAAGCTCTAATCAGTCTGCTGCTAGCTCTAATGGGGTACATGAATACTCTTGCACTTATACTTCACTTACAGTCTCTCCCTTTACCCTTTCTTCTTGGGGAAAAGCAGACTTAAATATTTAAGTAAAAAAAAAAAAAAAAAAAAAAACAAAAACCAACAAAAAACAAAACAGAAAACAACAAAACAAAAAAGCAGGGAAAGATATTTATTTTCCTGACCGTAATCCCTTCTCTCCTCTGATGTGCTTATACAGCACACAGGTCCTCTGGGTTTTTCAAACCTCCTTCCTGTTGCCCTTAGTGTTGCCCCCCTTACATTGTGTAGTGGGAAATTTATTCAGGGTTCAGGTTCCTTCCTTATGGCAAAGCGCCAAGAAATTCTCCTTGGCTACCCCCTAATCCACTTGCCTCGCAACAAAGGCTGCCTCACACTATTTTCTGAACCCTTCGTATCTCTAGCCCAGCTGTTCTGAAGAACTAGTTAGCACAGATCTCTCCACCTGTCCTTCCGTAGCTCTTCCCCTCCTCCCCTTCTAATTGCATACTCATTTCCCAGTTCATGCTTCCTGAAGCCATCTCTAACTGACATCTCCTTTCATCTCCCAGATTCCCAATGCCATGGCTCCTGGATTTGCTTTCCCTTCATGGGGGATGTGACCTGCTCCTGGTACAACAGCTTAACACAGCACTATGTCACACTCCACCAGAAATCTCTCCCTTTGTAACAAGGGTTTCTCTTACCTAACACTACCCTTACAATAAGGAGAACAGAGTATTATAGACTTGTGATTCAGAACGAGATGATCTGCTCCACAAAGCATCTTTTTCTCACCATTGACTGTGATGAGAAACTAGCTTAGTTATATGTCACTTCAGTTTAGACGTCTACATATTGTTGAATAAAATTAGTTCTCAGATTACACGTATGAAGACAAATGGATTTATACTGAACCAGTGGTTGAACACTGAATGAATTCTGAGGTCCAGGGATTACTTCTAAGCAGTCTGTGACAGGTCTACAAGAAAACCAAGTTCTTAAATGTTATATAGCTATACACTTCTGTAGCATTTCTGAGAGAAAGCACTGACAAAAAAGGTTAAAAACTACTGCACTGGATCTTTTTTTTTTTTTTTTTTTTATGACAATGATAGTGTCGTATTGTTTACTCTTGACAAAAAATCATTCAACAGGGTGTAAGAATAGGCCCTGACCATGAACATTGTCATGGTCATATACATAGTATATACGTTCTGTACCACATACTTCCAATCTGCTTCCTAATCTGGCATTCTAAGTGTCTAACTTCCACGGCATTCAGAGAATTCTTTGCTATATTAGAGAGACCATTAAAGTGCCTGCTCTTGCTGGCTTAGTAGCCACTTCCTTGTCCTTTTTAATTTTAACAATTATTTTAAAAGTCACTATTTATGTCACTGTGGGAACAGCAGAAAAGCAATAGCTGGAGAGGTCTGCTTAGTTTAGGTAACGGTGACATGAAAAGTGCAGCTTGAAGTTGTAACTTTAGCAACCAACCAAAATGCCAAATTTTAGAAGTGAAACTAAGCCCAAAGATGAGCACCAACACAGTTATCATAATTACATTCACAGAAAAAAAAAAAAAAAAAAAAAAAAAAAAAAAAAAAATTGTGTGGTACCTGAGCTCTGTGTGAGTTTTCTGCTCAGGAATAAATTTTATCAGAGGCAAGTCACATGCTTGAAACGGTGTGATTTTGGTTTTAAGTAACTGTATTTTCCAGTGGCTGCAGACCTTTGGGCTTGACCAGGCTGTTACTGAAGCTATTTTTGTGGTTTGGCCACCAATTCCAATGACTTTTAGAAAGTACCAAAAAAAAAAAAAGAACCCAAACTTCCACAACAGCCTTTAAAAAATGCCTGTAGCCTACTAGCAGCCCCAAAGATGTGACACACATTATGAATCGACCCCATAAATCTATCCCCCAGAATTATTTATTCTGACTGGAGTGGGAGCTCCCGGTGAAGAAGTTCCTCAGAAATCCGGATCTTTGGACCCAAGTGCCGTGCGGTGAGAACGCGTTACTTTGGGGGCAAGCCTTTCTGGACGTCCCCGCTTCTCCCTGAGGAGAGCCAAGAGGGCGGAGGGACGTGCCCTTGCAAGCTTTATCCGAGCCCTTCCTCCCGGGGGGGTCGCGGTGGCACCCAGCGCGGGCCGGGGCCGGCGGGCGGCAGGCCCCGGCGGGGAGGGCCAGGCCCCGGGCCGCCTCCCGGCCCCGCCGCCGCGGCCCGCCGGCCCGTATGACATCATCGGGACGGCTCGGTATCGATCCCCCGCCCGCGCCGGTTAACGGCTGGGGCGCTCCGCCGCGGCCACTCGCCCTGCGCGCCGAGGGGGGGAACGCCGGCCCTGCCACGGACGGAGCAGGCTTACATTAAAATTCATCGGTGCCGCCATGCAGCGCGCCGGCAGCCCTGCGCCCGCTTTGGGCTGAGCGTGGCGAAGCCGCTTCACCGGCTGCGAGGCGGGGTGGGGGGGGTGGGAAAGGCAGCGCGGCCGGAGGGGGAAGGTGCGGTGTCCTGACGGCCCCGCAGCAAAGACGCCTTCCCCGAACCACGGCACTTTTTGAGGAGCCCTCCCTGGCTCAGGGGTCGGGAAGAAGGAATTCACCGGGTGGGAATCGGGAGGAAACGAGCCACGGAGCGGGAGGATCCGAGCAGCGGCAGCTGAAGAAACCGCCCGGTCCCTCAACTGACAGGCTGCGACGTGCACCGCGGCGGCCGCTTCCTAGCTCCCATTTTAAGCGAAAGGGGCGGGAGGGGGAGTTCAAAGGCATCAACAAGGAGCGCAGGACCTAATTCCTCCCGCCTCCCTTTCCTCAAGCTAGCTCGCCGATAAATCCAGCTCGGCTATGCATCGCAATGGGAACGTGCTGCCGCGGAGGCTGCCTTCCCCTCACTGAGGAGGCTGCTGTTGCTGCTGATGTTGCTGCTGCTGCTGCCGAGGCTGCCTTCCCCTCCCGGAGGAGGCTGCTGAGGCTGCCTGCCCGCCACTGAGGAGAGCGCTCCTGCCGCCGCGGAGGCTGCCTTGCCCTCACCGAGCCGGCAGCAGCAGCAGCAGCTGCCGCCGCCACGGAGGCCGCCGTGCCCTCACCGAGGCGGCCGCCGCCGCCACCGCGTTACTGGGAGAGATTGTGCCGCTGCGACAGGGGAGGACGGGGCTCGGCGCGCAGGGAGGAGGCGCAGTGAGCATGCGCCGGCCGAGCCACTGACTGGATTCTCAGTCAAGGTATCGAGGCAAAAAAATAAAAAAAAAAAAAAAAAGGAAAAGAAAAAAAAAAAAAAAAAAAAAAGAAAGGATCGAGAGAAAGGAGAATGAAAGACGGCAGAGGAAAATAAAAAAGGTTGTAAAAGAGGCCGCCAGGATAAAGCAGCCCTCGGTCGGCGGGAAGGAGCAGCTCTGGCATGTGGGGATCTCCGGCACCAACAGGTAGGAGGAGAGGGGCTGGGGGAGTCTGGGGGTGCCGAGGGCTGCCGCTGCTGCAGGTGCGTGTGGGGAGGGCTGCCCCCCTCAGGGAGCGGGTCTGGGGGTGGTGGTGGGGGGGGGGGGGTGCGATTTCTAAAGAAGCAGCATGATGGAAGTGTTCCCAGACAATGCCTCTTCCGCTCTCCCGAGCTCCCCGCCGCGGGAGGCTCTCGCATGGCTCCGGCAGATGCGGCTGCCGGGCAGCGGCACCCGGGCTCCCTTGCAGCGCGGCGCAGTCCAGCCCTGCATGGCCGTGCGTGGGGGGGGGGGGGAGCGGGTGTCTCCGCGAGTGTGTGAGCGTCGGTGTGAGTGTGAGTGTGTGTGTGTGTGTGTGTGTGTGTGTGTGTGTGTGTGTGTGCGGAGGTAGGGCCGGCCGCGCGGCGGGGACAGCTCCACAGAGGAGGGGAAGCGGCGGGGCTGGCGGGGGGGGAGGGGGAGCCTGATTTCATGGTTTTAAAACGATGCCATGATCTGATCAGCCTCTGTTTACACAGCAGCAATCAGGCTCTTTTGTGGACGGTAAGAATGGAAGGATTTTGCTGGGATTCAGTGGGAATATCCTTTGTACACCCGAGGTGGCATAGGAAACACTTCGTGTGAATAACGAAGGAGCCTGATCATGACTGCTGTGGCTCCTGTCCCTGGCTCTGGAGGGAGAAAAAAAAAAAAAACAAACCAAAAAAAAACAAACCAAAAACCCAGCAGCAGCAGCTAGTTCTTTATTTTATTTTATTGCATGAAATGTTTTCCGGTACGATTCACTGGGAGGAATAGTGGGAATCGCAGAGCCCTAATTAGCTAAAAAAACCCAATTTAATATATGTTTATTTAAGCATAACCAAAACCAGCCCTCCCAAAAGGATGGGTGTTATATCTTGGGTGTGTTGCCTGCTTTTGCTCAGTATTTACACTGACCATTGTTTATTATGAATTATGTTGAGGCTTTAAAGATTTGCATTAAAGAGGGGGGGGGAAGGGAAAGACCCCAAAGCATAGTGCTATCAACTGTCTGGAATACCTGTTTATTTGAAAACCTAAATGATAAAATTATGGTTTATAGGAGGAAGGGAGGGGGATAATGAATACTGTTTCTCTTACAATGTGCATGAACTAACACAGTGTGATTAATGTGCTTTGGTGACTTGGGTTAAAAAACATAAATTCTGCAGGGTTTCTTTGGGTGTGATCCGAATCAACACAGCAGCTGCCTCTAAAACATTGACAAATACTGTAGCCATAAAATAAATGTAGGTAATGTCAAAATATAAGCAGTCTTTGGGGATTTTTTAAAAAGATGTCAGTGATTAGCTCTCGGGCTTGCAAACTGAGAATCTTTTGATTCATAAAATCTCTGAGGCTTTAACTGTAAAATTATATATGCTACCAAATATACAGGGCACCGGTCAGTTCTGAAACTGTAACAAGCCAAATCGTGAAATGCCAATAATCGATCATGCTAAACAGTAAGTATAGGAAAAAAAAAAAAAAAAAGCCTCACAATTTTTAAAAACAAACAATAGTACTCAATTTTACAACTTCATTTGGTTCTCCATAAATTAACATCTTTGTTAGCACTTTCTGACATCATTTCTTGTTAACTTAAGAACTGATAGCTCGATTTTTTTTCAGATATTTTGATGGCATGACAAATCAGAAAGAAGAGGATGTACTGTATGACTAGACACAAGATCAGTTCTGTTTGTGGATTACATTTTCAGTAAGATGTATGGATCTATTTTTTCCTTGTTCTTATATATAGATCATGAGACTTGACTGAGGCAATATACATATCATCCATCCATCTATGGCGAACTACAGCCATGCAGCTGACAACATTTTACAAAATCTCTCTCCTTTAACAGCTTTTCTGAAACTGACTTCACTGGGTTTCATAATAGGAGTCAGTGTGGTGGGTAACCTTCTGATCTCCATTTTGCTAGTCAAAGATAAGACCTTGCATAGAGCTCCTTACTACTTCCTGTTGGATCTTTGCTGCTCAGATATCCTCAGATCTGCAATTTGTTTCCCATTTGTTTTCACCTCTGTAAAAAATGGCTCTACTTGGACGTATGGGACTCTTACTTGCAAAGTGATTGCTTTTTTGGGGGTTTTGTCCTGCTTTCACACTGCTTTCATGTTATTCTGCATAAGCGTCACCAGATACTTAGCTATTGCCCACCACCGTTTTTATACGAAAAGGCTGACCTTCTGGACTTGTTTGGCTGTTATCTGTATGGTGTGGACCCTCTCTGTAGCCATGGCTTTCCCCCCAGTTTTAGATGTGGGCACCTACTCGTTCATTAGGGAGGAAGACCAATGCACTTTCCAGCATCGTTCCTTCAGGGCTAATGATTCCTTGGGATTTATGCTTCTTCTTGCCCTTATCCTCCTAGCCACACAGCTTGTCTACCTCAAGCTGATATTTTTTGTTCACGATCGCAGGAAAATGAAGCCAGTCCAGTTTGTTGCAGCAGTGAGCCAGAACTGGACTTTTCATGGTCCTGGAGCAAGTGGTCAAGCAGCTGCTAATTGGCTGGCTGGATTTGGAAGGGGTCCCACACCTCCAACCTTGTTGGGAATCAGGCAGAACGCGAACACCACAGGCAGGAGAAGGCTACTGGTTTTAGATGAGTTCAAAATGGAGAAGAGAATCAGCAGAATGTTCTACATCATGACATTCCTCTTTCTGACCTTGTGGGGTCCCTATTTGGTAGCCTGTTACTGGAGAGTTTTTGCAAGAGGGCCTGTAGTACCAGGGGGATTTCTAACGGCCGCTGTCTGGATGAGTTTTGCCCAAGCTGGAATCAATCCTTTTGTCTGCATTTTCTCCAACAGGGAGCTGAGGCGCTGTTTCAGCACAACCCTTCTTTACTGCAGAAAATCCAGGTTACCAAGGGAACCTTACTGTGTTATATGAGGGAGCATCTGTAAATCTTTAGCCTTGTGAAACACTACCATCCTCTGCTAAGCAATTGTGGCCTGTAGCCATGTCTTGAGGAGAAAATCAAGAATGGGATGTCAGCAGTTGTAAGGATTTGGGCAACATTCTGCAGTCTTTGCAATAGCTCACCTCTAATCCTGTTTTAAACCTAAACATGTTCCTGCTGACCACTGCTGAAGGTTTGTAATTAAGAACAAAGGACTGAACTACTGCCCTGAATTCCTTTATGTGGTTGAAATCTAGATTATGAAAGTAGCAGGTGCTAAGTATCAGTGCTAAATGCTGTGTATATCACTACATAAAATAAGACCATCAAAAAGATTAGCATTGGACATCTTAATAAATTAAGTTGATATGAGGTTAATGTGTTGATAAAAATAATTTTAGACATCTGAAGACCTTTAAAACATTTCATACAATTATTGTTTTGCAAAGACTGAAAACTGGGGACTCAAGTACTGTAACTGATTAAAGATGTGCCATGCATTATTGGATTATCACACTTACAAATCTGTTTGCCTTGTGAGTAAGTTTTGGGGAGCATTCCAAAGCAGTATTTTTGTTCAGATTTAGACTTTACTTTTTTTTTTTTTTTTTTCCAAATATATTACTCTTTCTAAATACCATTTTCCTTAACAGTGAAATTACTAACATTTAACTGTATTCTGTGGTTTTTGCTGATTTGGTATAAAGTTTAATAGACTCTTACTTATATTTTTTAAAAAACTAGATATCAGTCTATTAGGCAACGTTAACGATAATATCCAGTCATAATTGAACAGTTATAATTCTACAAAATAAACACATGTTGCCTTAAAGGGTTATCTAGTATCTTCCATTTTGTTTAGCATTGAAGCAAATAAGCAAGGAAAATTGAATCAATAACTCTGGTCAGTCATTTGGGAGTGCATGAAAGATCACTTTTTTTTCCTTTTTTCTCCAACGGTTCCCAAAATCAGTATGCACATCACTGGGATGATATGATTTTTTTCTAGGTGTGCCGCCCTTTCTAGTTTGTTCTGAGAAACACAGGCAGTTGATGTATGTTTATATTTTAAGACAGCTGTCATGGGGAGACCGCAGCCTTAGTATGATATCTTGCACAATTTGTGAAGCATTTATTCTACTGAAGGCACAGTCTTGTTTATATTTTCTGCACATTTTGGTGTATTGGTTGTTTTAAATTATTTAAGTTTTAACTTGTGAAAGCATATAATATGATTTCTTAGTATTTTAGAAAAACATTAGTCTGTGAGTCTTTCCTTCTTTAAGATACAGATGTGTGGATTTCAATATAAAGTTGCATTTGCCAAAATTTACCTGTGTAGCTTGTTAATTTTCTTGGAATAAAATTTTACATTTTTCCAGTTATACAATTAACCTTTTTTATTTTGTCTAGTGAGCTAGCATGAAGTACTGAGAATGTAGCCATTATGAATTATTATCCTTTGCAGTCACTGTATTCCCAAACTGTAAATGCATGAATGATGGGGACCACAGGATTGATAAATGATATTATCTACAGTAGCACTATTGTGTAGTTTATCATAATTACCCATCTATCTGTTCTAATATGTCAGTTATATTTAAAGTTACAACACAGTATTTGACATTAACTTCACTGTTTAATTTTGGAAAATGTGTATATTTGAAGCACAACATCATGAGTTGGTCAGTCATAAAGAACATGGATTTTTCTTAATTTTTGGAGAGACAAGACTAGAGGTCTTAATTCAGTATTGGTATATCTTGTCCTTTGTTGTAGTTTTTTGACCAGCAAGTTAATATATACATACACAAGCAGCAGTCAATAATGGAAATGCTTAAATTTGTATGATGACATTATACAACATATGCAACAATTCAGAGAGTTGTGTCTATATGTGATCAGACAACTTGATCAAAGATTTGGTGAGCAATCTGTTTGACCTCACTTACACTTTTATACTGAGGTTGATTGGTTGAGAGGCATGGCTTTATATACTGTGTTGAAACAGAAAAATTGCTGAAATGAGTCCTCATCAGTACAAGAATGTTTCAGAACGTAATTTGAAATGGGACCAATAAACTTCTACCAAAAGGACTTTTTTATTACACTGGAGAAGGCTTTGAAATTAAGGTAGTTAAGCAATTGTCAAAGATAGCAAGAGTGAATAAAAACTGAATCGTATGTTGAGAAAAATTCTGAAAGTTATCCCACTTAAGTTTATAAAAGGTTGATTGGCAATAACTTCAGTCTAATTTCTATAAAATAGTAACCTTTACAAGGAACATTGATATTACATATTGTAATAAAGAAGTACATATAAATAAAGTTGTAAATAGTGTTATAGTTGTAGAAGTAGTCGGTTCTGAAGATTAGCCAGAAAATTTTCAACTATGAAATTTCAAAAGCTGCAAATTTGGGGCCTGACCTAACTCCTTATAAAGTCAGTTGGTGTTTTCCCATTAACTTCATTTGGAGCAGAAGCAGGCCCTAACATTTCTATAGTACTATGCTTCTGAAATACTAAGAAGGCTGTATTTACTATGCAGTGGGAAAAAAAAAAAATTCCCTGGAAGTTTTGCAAGCAGTAACTGATGTAAATTTAAATAATAAACAGTAAACAATCTGAAAGCAAATATTTTGCTAAATGTTTTTCTTTTGATATGAATATAATTCCTTTGGCTAGCCGAAAAATACGCAACTGTATTACTACCTGACAGTGGAGAGGTACTTTTTTTTAAGTGAATTTTTATAGTTGTTCCAATAAGTCTTGTGACAGAAATATTTCCTTTTATTTTCACCAGTGTTAAAAGAACAAGGGGATGTTCAGTGAAATTAAAAGGCAACATATGAAGTAATGTTTTATGCAAAGTTATTACTCAGTGGAACTCACTGGCACAGGATGTCAAGTAGTTTAGAGAGATTGCTACAAGAATTATATATATACATGAATTAAAGCAGTGCTTGCAGTTTTTGTCGTCGGTGTCATTTTGATCCTAGTCAGCATATCAAACCTAATGTATTCGGGTATAAATTCAAAGGAGCAAGAAGATTTATTCCAATTCAGTACACTGTTGTGTCACAGTATGAAAAGCCTTTTGCTTTCATTTTAGTACAGGAATTAAGCTGTTACCAAAGATAGAATACAGGGCTGGTAGGTTACTTTTTTCAGAACAGCAAAGAATATCACACTATTTTATATCTGCATTGATCTTTAACGCTCATGGATAATGTGAAGTTAGTAGTTCTAATTTTCCTGGTGGCAGAAAAAAAGAGTAAAAACAGATTCCCCGAAGAAAAGGCTGTCTGCCCCTGTTACTTTCCTTCCCTCTGTTTCCCCACTGTCCATTTGGCAGACTTTCCATCAACCCTTCTTCAAGATTAAATGTTTCATATACTGAGTCTTATATTACTCCTGCTCCTTAAGAAGTGTCTCAGCCATCCCTCCTTCACAGTAGCTAAGCTCCTGCAGCATCTTCCCAAGGTTGGTCAGTGCCTGGGTTTCCTTCCTGAAGACAGAGAGAGGCCACCAGTTCCTTCCAGCCACCTTTGTAGTTCATGGAGTCATCATTCCATGACGCTTGGCTAGCACACTGGGTTTCTCTGTCTTTTGGCTTTGATCATGAAGTAGATGCTGTTTAGGTTATGCAGAGAAAAAAGGAGGGGGCAGCAGGAAACAACTTCCCCTCTCCCAACCCTTTCATAAAGAAACCACTGTTATTGTTGCATTGCTAAAGAGCGTATGATTTTTTGTAAAGCATATTTGGTGCTAATGACCCTCTAAATGAATAAAATGTACAGTTAGCCAATTAATGCAAGGTTTTTGCTACAGCTGCAAAATCGTATTATAAAATGGCATTCCATCAGTCTCTAGGCCTTGGGGGCAAAGGAATCTAGCATATCTATCTCCTTTTAAGTGCACTGAGTTTGTTCACTTGTGTTGTCTTTGCTTTACCTTCCCAGCATGTGAACACTTTACTTATATTAATAGGAGTCCAGTATTGCAGCAAGCTGTTATTACTAATGGATTTAAAAAATAATATAAAAGGGAACTCTGATGATTTTTGAGGTGAATTAGAGAGGTATTTTGACAAACGTTTTTTAGCAATTGTTGAATAAAACTGTGGGTTGCTGGGCTCTTTCATAGTTACAGTCAACTCTCAATCATTGAAAACAGAAATGGAGTAGACTAACCTGCATAAAGGTAAAACATGCGTATGCACATTAGATAAGAACTTCCTGTGCTTATCACATTTATCGAGGAATGAAATTAAGCTGAAGTAAAAAGTAAGATCAGAAATTCAAAGAAAAATGGTGGGTGTTTTTCCTTTTTTTTCTGCTTTGTTTTAGCATAGCACTGCTAATCTGCAACCTGGGTTACACACCCACAGACAACCAAGAGTTGACTGTACAATTCTGCACACCACATAGACAACTTCCTTCTAGTTTATTTTCATTGAGAGCTATATAAGTGCACACTACTAATCTGATTGACTTTTCAGAGAAATGAGAAGGCTCAGTCTGAGATACTGTTCTTCAAAACTAAAATTCAATATATGTTGTCTGCTTTTGTTTACTGAAGTCGTTTTGAGTGTGAAGAAATCAGTTGTCTAGATCAGTAATGATCATAAGCATTCTCTGGCCATGACCATTAACAGCAGGACAAGATGACATTTTGCAATGCATATGCCAGCAACAAATCAAAGAGTTTGATATTACACACCATGACTTTCCCTGCATGGCCTGAAAATAGCTCATGCTTTATATGTAGAAAAAAATACGATGAAGCTGTCCTTTTAAATGGATAAAGTCTTTAACTATCCAACATGGAAAAAGAAGGGTGAATTTTAAAGATTGCTTTTAGAAGTAGTGAAGAGTTTTTGTGGTGTTTTTTGTTTGGCTGAACTGTGTAATTACATAAGTATATGATGATCAAAGGAGTGCCACAGTAAGTAAGGTAGATTTTTTAATAGTCTAAAAAGGAAATAAGTAACAGCAATCTTCAGCCATTTGTAATAAAATAGTTATAGTCATTCATATGTTTAATAAAATTTAGATAACAGTTATTGACATTTTCAGTACTTAGTGATTTTATGTGCTTGATGCATTTAAAGAACAATGTCTTTAGACAGTGAGTTGGCTGATGCAGCCCAGTGCAAGACTTATTCTTCGCATCACGGTTTTTATAATACTTTGCTTTGTATCTAATAAGCACAAAAGACATAAAACCAGAATTCATCTTATATAATCTTCAACAAACTGCAGAAGCTACAACAAAACTTCTCCAAGTATTAGGCAAATTATTGTCTCCAGAGATTATTCAAAGTTATCCCTGTGTTAATTCACAGAAAGTCCACTTCACCTTTGTTGAAGAGCTATCTAGTAAAAGACGTCTATTTTTTTTCATCCTTTCATTGGTTGGCTAAGACAAGTTCTGCTGTAATGTGGAGTTAAAAATCTCAAGCGTGAAATGATTCATTTGCATTTCAATTATTATGCTACCTATATGTGGCATTGTTGTAGTTACATTTTAAATAAACCCACAAAGTTTATGGTTGAAGAATGTGAATAGTCACTTATGATGCAAAAAAACAGTCAGTCACCTGCTTCCAGTTCATTCTTTTTCTTATTTCCATGGAATGTTAAAGTTTCAATTTTAAGCATGCAAAGGCAAACTCTGAAAAACAAATATGTTGGAGGGGAGAGAAAGAATAGCCAGAAATATATCTGTTAAGGTTATCTTTGCAACGAAGAAGGTTATATATGCACTGTGTTTTCTGCATGGTTATAATCTATCAGCTTGGCTACTTTTTGCCAGTGTTTATATGTGGTATAGGTACAATTCTTATGCCACCATTAACTACAGCATTTCGTGAGCCCTTTTATTTTCATTCTATAACCATTAAGCTCAGGCACACTGATATCCTTATGCGCATTGAAGGAATTGCTAAAACTAAAAAATTTTGCACTACAATAATCTTGGTGGATCAGGTCACTGAGATAGTTTAAGAGAGTAGCACAGATAGTTGATGAGTAGTCTAGGCAGCCGGTTGGAGGATACAACAAAATTTTCCCGCCTGTTTGGGAGCCAGGTAAAATCCTGCTGTCGTCCCGGTGAAAGCACTTCCCATGGAACTGGCCCACTGCGGGACTGGGACCCACTTCATGCTGAGTTTAAGTAGGACTTTGGTTATGCATACTCTGGGTACTGGTGGGTGAAATTCAGCAGTGAGCAGAAATAAGAAATGCCCAGACAACATTTGTAGGCTACAGACAGGTGGTACGTGCTTGTCTTCTCAAAACAGAAGAAGTAACAGAAGAAGCAGAGGCCCAGAGGTAAATGTTTTTTTTGTGAGCTGCTTGGTATTTCATGCCCTGCTGGCCCCTCAG